CAATATCATTTTATTTTACTACATTGATAAATATTTTACCATGCCATTATTATATTCCAATAGAACCTCACCTGACCTCGTCACTACTCTACCGAGGTTAGGCTTGGCACTTACTGGGCACCGCTGTGGTGTACTCATACTACGCTTCTGCACATCTTTTTGTACAGATCCAGGTACATTTTTACCAGCCTAGACGTCCGTGAGTTACCTACGCACGGAGACTTCGAGGTATATCTGCCAGCATCCGCAGACTCCGGAGTCCCCTTCTATCATTTTATGTTGCTTCCTTATATTTTATTTAGACCTTGACATATAGTGACATTGGGAATAAATTCTTAGAAGCTTGTGACTTATTTCTACCGGGTTTTGGGAGTTGAAATTGTTTGAATTATAGTTTATTTATTTCAGATATTTATTATTATTCCGCATTGATAGGCTTACCTAATCTTAGAGACTAGGTGCCATCACGACATCCTACGGAGGGAATTTAGGATCGTGACAATAACGTTGTACGTTGGATAATCATATTCAAGACATTGAAACACGTCTGTTGAATCAGTTTCTATTCCCAAAGGCATGAAGGTCACATGCAAGTTGAAGGCCATGTTGCAAAGCTAAAATTTCTGTTTGGATAGGCGTAGCAATATGTGTAACATTAAAGCTAACCACCAAGTCTCCCGAACTGCTCTGAGGATGACTTCACCAAGTCTAGATCAGAGTTTACGCGCTTCAAAATCACCATCCTTATTCCATCCAGCAGTTGGTTTAAGCCATTTACTATGATGAGCTTTTTTCATGTTTCCATTAGGTTCCCTAGCTATGATAAATTTGAATTTCATGGCATTTTGGAAAACATTCTTAAGATAGGGATGATAGTATTATTCTGATTATTATTGTTTGGGTGGGGGTAGAGTCTCTAGCGCCAATGTCGATGAATCAAAGGTGTCTGTTTATGGTATGGAATAGGAAGAGCAAGAATAGAACCGCTATCGCTTGTCCTATCGTCCGCGATGAGCTTCTTTCATTCGTCAGTATGGGGTAGGTAGAGTCCTTTGCTCGTATGCTTGGCATTACTATAGTCGCACAAGTCTTCCTTCCTTTTTAGTGCACATGAAACGGAAGTTGAAACAGATGCTCCCTAAAATAAAAGAAAAAGATCCTCCCAGGTGAGATAATAGCGACATTGGGAACATTTATAATGAGGATCCAATTGTTAGGATCAATGGTAATGAGATTTGTGTAGCCCAATTTTTCCCAGAAGGCATTCACAATAGGCCCAATTTTTTCCCAGAAGTCATTTGCAATAGGACAGGTTTCATCTTCATTTTTGAACACAGGATAGGTTGCATTCACATTCATGCCAATATCACTTAAACATGATCTACAAGGAAATCTATTGTGGAAGCCTTTACATAAGAAGATTTTTATCTTGGTAGGTGGAGTTGTCAATGTCAGATTCAAGTGAAATCCTTATCATCACCTTCGAACTCATCAATGAGAGTGTAACAAGAATTTGTACTAAACCTACCGTTACTGCGGAGGGACCATATGGGAGTGTTCAATTTATTAGCAGTGCTTAAAATTATTTATAGTTCTAATGTTATCAGTAATATAGTTAGGAGATACTGTCAGGTGCGGGGCCGTTTGATTTATTTTAGTTATGCAAGAATTGTTTAATGCAGTAATAATGATTCAAAAATTGTTATACAATGAACAATATGAAATTGTTAGGCAATAAGTAATAACACATGAATTATCACTGTATAAATTATCTAATCTAAGAGCATTTTTAGTTTAGATGCACTTATTCATGTACTACTTATACACGCAATTATCTAACTTTTTAACAGTTATGTAATAATACACGAATTCACGTATAGTCATAGTTGGTAAGAAATCATTCGATTCACAATATGAAACTCCGATTAACTCCTGCAAAGTTTTTTATGTTTTAATTCTACAGAGAACAATGACCCAATAAAATCTCACAAGTGGGATTTGAAAAAGGTAGTGTGTACGTAAACCTTACCCCTACCTCGAAGGAGTAGAGAGGTTGTTTTCACAAGACCACGAGGGTCTTTCGGAAACAGAGAGTTAATATAAATATTTTTACTGAATCTTATGCATAAACCACCACTGCACTGTCTTGCAACCATGAATAGAACGCAGTTTAACGGGTATGGGTGAAAAATTAAGCTTTATTTATCGTATTCATTCATTTGGTTATCTTTACCACCATTTCAAACTCGCCTAGTTCATGTTCCTGCCGATGCATGTACCAAAACTCGAGCATGGTTAAGTATATCCTACCACTGTATCTGGAGTTATGAAAGGTAGGTATCCTACACATTAGCCGATCATAACATTCAACATAAAAGAAACCACTTTAAACTCCAATGTTTACAAGGGGTCCCTGAAGTAGATAACAGTACGTAGCAGAACAGCAAAATCCTATTTCAAGTCTTACAGCACAATCCAGTAATCAAGTCGATGTTCTACCAAGGTAAATTCCTGAATACGAACCTCCTAGCTGCTTCACAAATTTTGCTCCAAATCACTCACAAACCCGGTTCAGCTACATTGCACAAGTGTAATTAGCATTACAAAGAAATCAGGGAAAACAGATAAATACACGAAAATGAAAGGATGTCAGAACACCGATGTGCCCAATATTGGGCCATCCGGAAAACAAATCATGAATTTGTAACGCTCACAAAACGTATCTCAAGTAGAAAAGCACAAACACATAGGAAATTATTCATTTCAGGATGCTCACGGAAATAGCTTCATATAAATGTAAGGAAAATAGTGTGTACACGATTCTCTAATTCCTTATTCCGCACTAGCAGGGGGCATTTTCTGCATGAGGCGAGCTCTTTTAGTAATACACCATGCAGATTTTCATCCTAGAATTGTTTCCTAGTCCCTACCATTGAGCTTCCCATCTTCCGTATCCAAAATTACACAAATGATTCCTCATTTTTGTAAGACCATTATCTCATTTATGAACCATTTTCAACGTTCACCAAATACCAAAAACCTTTGTCTCCATACTCCTAGCTTGAAAAAAAACTGAAATTTCTCTTGCTGTCATTTCCTACCATTAATCTTCCTACCATGGTATTATTACCCCAGATGACAGCTCACTCAGCATTTCATTTACAAAATGACACTTATCAAACGATAGCGTTAAATCATTTCTGAAGTTCCAAATTTCATTTTAAATTGTTGATAAATTTCTCAAAAATGAATTCAAAAAACTTCCTTAGCATTCACATTTTGTGTACCAAACACTTGATTGCATAATAGCCGGTTAAAAGGGAATTGCAATTCAAAGATGGGCTGATGAAATGAAGAACCAGCTCGCAATTTAACTCAAATTACTCCAACCGCCATAAATAAAAACGTGAAAGATCCAGCAATACCTCTACTTGGGATTCCGGAGGACAATGATCACAGAATCTCCCCGAAGGAACATCTTGCTAATAAACCTATCTTTGTTAACAGGTTGAGCCTTCTTTTTTCCTTTTCCAGTCTTGGGAACCTGAAGAACAAACATTCACAACTTAGATAAGTGGAGCTCTCTGGCGCAAGTTACAAATCCAAGACCCAAGACACATTATCCAAAACAAATTGACTAAGAAAACCCAGGAAAAAACCAACCTCAGTCCACATTTCTCTAACATTTTCAAGCACCATGTTGCAGTGACGATCGAACGCCCTCACACGACCGAGAAGTTTCCTGTTGTTCCTACAGTTGATGAGCACCTACAAACCAGAAAACAGCCAGAATGAAATCTGTAAGACAACTGCAATGTTGATGCTCTTTCACATAAAAACTCAAGATTGCATTTAGTTCTAGAGTACTGAAATTGAGATCTATGACAAATGAGAAAGTACACTGACATGACTTAGAAAGCAAATGGACGACATAAATAAGGCTCTAGATCAGCTTTAGTCAATTTTTATATAATTAGTATACTACACAAGCATGACATAAAAAAGACATCAGTAAAGGCGCTAAAGTCTATTAGATACCTGTGTGTTATTCTTAACACTCATCATCAGGACAGAAAGTGGGCCAGTGTTGAACTCCTCTTCCTCATTTTTCACCTGCAAAAAAAAGGGGCTCCATTAGCAAACACAAAGGTCAGATTCACTGGGGACCAACGAGGTCCATCCCTCCATAAAACCAAAATAGAAAGGCATATACTCACTATGTTCTTAAGCTGGATAATGTACCAATTACAATTTTGAAGCTAAAACTTATGCATATGGAAAATGAACAATAAGGTCATGTGTATGGATGAACAAACCAAGACGAAAAGAAATGAGAATAGGATGTCTGTTAAAGAAGAACAAAATTTAAACCAAGCTTCCAGGAAATCCAATGTTGCAAGACGAGAAAAGACCGACAACACTTGCATGGAGGTGAGTGCAACCCAGGGTTAGAACATAAAGTCTTCTAGATCAACTATTTCAACCAATAAATTTTTATACTTTGTATTTTGCATATATATAGGGAAAATACATTGAAGAAATAACATACTCCATTTTTTAATGCACCTGATGTTGTAGAAAGGAACTCAAGTTTATATGCTATAACCATCATGCCAATTGCTGCACCATATTACATATCCACCAATAAAGGATCTTCAAATAATTTTTGGTAGCTATATTGTTATTTGAAGCACCCAAAGGTGTGGTCTAATGGGTAATAAAGTGGGTACAAATCTTGGAGACCAGCTTTTAAATACCAATACCAACAGGGACAAAATATTAGGTGATTCTTCCCATCTGCCTAAGCCTTGGTGGCAGAGTTACCCTATAACCATGTTAGTGAGACCTGTAACTGTGCTATGGAGAGGTAATAGTGCTAGTGAGAGGTAGCAGGTACCTTGTGTAATAGTGAAGGTCCGCAAGTTGGCCCGAAACCGCCTTTTAATACAAAAAGAAGTTATATTATTATTTAAAGTTCCAACTGTTTTTGTCATTTGTTTTAAGAGTGGTGATTCAAATGATTTAACCTAAGGCATGTCAATAGCCAATGTGACAGGTTGAAAAAAACTCTGTCAATAATGACTTCAAACTATCTCAAACAATTTCTTGTTCCGACTGAAAGAGGAGGTGTAAATCCTATTCTCTTTCTAAAAAATACTAGATGTATCGCATACGGGAAGGATGATGGCTACCAAGTACCAACAAAAGAAAATCTAATTGAATACATGGCACTAAGGTGAAAAGAAGAGAGAAAAGAAAACAAGAATTAACCAGTAGACAGGCCCTAAAATATAATAGTTAACGACACAGGGAAAAGCCAAGGGAAAAATATGAAATCAATAATGAAAGCTATATATAGGCAAAACACTTGCAAAGTAAGCTGACTTACAGGGGCATCCTCTTCCATTGGCCGACTGCAAAAGAGCAAAAGAAAAAAGGAAAACGAATTAGGAACCTTCACTTTGCTAATATTTGATTAACATAAGAATCAGCAAAAATATAGAAACATCAAAATTCAGCAACAAAACATGAGAAAATAACCAGGTTTTTTTTCTTTCTAATTTCTACCATTATATAAATCCAACTGTCCTGTTAGCCTTTTAATCTAGCCAAAAAAGGATTCTACTACTGATTTGCATGAGATAACATAAGTTTAAGCTTGATAAAGTGCAGAGTCAACAAAAGGAATTAAGAGCAGTAATAATAAAGAGCTAGAGAAGCAACCATCCCTATTTACAAAGGCAAGAGTTCATGCAACAGGAAACCCAATAAACACAATATAAGGAAAAGTTCTACTTTTTTTAAGAAAAAGGAAGTCTTCGTTTATTGTACCCAAAGGTGTAGCCTAGCAGAGGCAAAAAACGATAGGTGATTTCTTCTCATCTGCCTAAGCCTTTGTGGGTAGAGTTACCAGTATGCTAGTGGGAGTTAGCAAGTAGCCAGCTACCAAGTGTAATAATCGAGGTGCGCGCAAGCTAGTCCAAACAGAGCAATCATCAAAACAAAAGAAAAAAGGACCCAAAAGGAAAAAAAGGAACCCTCCAAACAAAGAACAACACAACAAAAACAACAACAATGCCTTGGTCCCAAACTAGCTAAGGTAGAGTATATGAATCTTCTATATCTATTCACTCTATTCAGACCTATTTCATCCCATTGCTAGTAAATCATTTTTCTTTAAAGCCAAAAAACAAGAATCCCAAAAGCTGTACATATTTGGTCCAGAAAATATAGATAAAATACTTCAATTTCCTGGTCTGAAAATTTGCTTTACCAGACCATCTAATATTAGGAACGAACGTGGTCTAACATATGTAATCTGCTAAAGGAATTAATATAATGACAAGAAAAAACCTAAAATTATAGGAGTTTTACGTTTTCAGGGAAACCAGATCATCCAACTCAAGCTAATCCGTAAAATTGCAAGCAGAGAAGATGAAAACTTTAAAAAGAACAAACTCGAAGCATAAAATAGCAGTAAAACTTACCTCATCTTCGATCAAATTGAAGAAATTCAAGAGCAAATATGAACCAAGAGGAGAGAGATTAGTGACTGAAAAAAAAACTAGGGTTTAAAGAGGGGACAGCGGAAAACAGTCGAAAGAAAAAGATTCACGCTTCACCGCCAACTAAGGTTCAAGCGTGACAATGGGCTGGGTGAGACTTATAAACGGACTATAGCCCAAATGAGGAGGCCCAAGATTGGCCCAAGATAAAGAGAAGAACATGGTAAAATGGTACTTCTAATCTTGGGGGAAGTGCACAGTTAGTCACTAATTAGAGATGTATTTATTCTTTAGCCACAGTTTAAAATATATTTACTTTTTAGGCAGTGCTTAATAAATTTTTATCCGCCTGGACTAAAATACCCATGTGCTAGACATGGGTGCTATATAATATTAAGGACATGGTGTCCTTAACTTTATGAATGTTCTGTAAATATTAAGGACAACGTGTCTTATATTTGCACTTTCCGTTATTAAACTTTAGGACATCATGTTCTTAACTTCATATGTGCAGTGTAAATATTAAGAACATAATGTCCTTAACTTGTATTTGCACCTTCTGTTATTAAACTTTAGGACCTCATGTCCTTATCTTTATATGTGCAGTGTAAATGTTAGGGACATGGTGTCATTATCTTCATGTGTGTAGTGTAAATGTTAAGGAAATTATGTCCTTAACTTTATGAGTATTGTGTAAATATTAAGGACATGGTGTCCTTAACTTCATGAATGTTGTATAAATATTAAGGACAAACTGTCATATATTTGCACCTTCCGTTGTTAAACTTTAGGACATAATGTCCTTAACTTCATATGTGCAGTATAAATGTTAAGGGCATGGCGTCCTTAACTTCATGTGTGCAGTGTAAATGTTAAGGATACGGTGTCCTTAATATTTACACGGCACTAATAAAGAAAAGGTAAAAACATTTTTTCGTATTAATTTTAATAAAGTAGTGGCTATTTTTGCTCAATATTAAAAATACTAGATATAAATTAAATACCATATTAAAAAGTGGCTAGCTCACGCCATTTCTACTCTAATTTTTAACATACAATGATTACAATCAAGTCTATCTAAAACACATCGTCCATTTGAACCTTTTTTTGCATGTTATTGGCTATTATGCGCCTGTAATAATATTTTATATTTAGTTTTTATTTGATCGTTATAAACAAAATTCACCTAGATTAATCTTTTATTTTCTTATATTATAAAATAAAGTATTAAAAAAAATCTCAAGATATTTATATATTATTAATTTAAAATTTAAAAAGGTAGTAATATATTTCTAATAGATCCATAACTAGTTGTATGTACAAGAATTTAAACTCTAAAATAGAAAAAAGTATTTTTGACATTCCAAATTTCCCGTTTGAACTTATAAAATTTATTCTAGTTTCGTCTCCAATAAAATATAATTAGTAGATTGATTTTTTGTTATAAATAAATAAATATTTATGTAAGGCTTCTATATAGAGGTAATTTTAGAAAGATCGTATTTTTATAATGATAGTTGTTATTGTTATAGGTAAAAAATTATAAAAAATTACTGAAATATGATATTTTTTTTGGGTGGCCTTTAATTTTTGACCCTGCATGCCTCATGGACAGAAATTCAAGGTCAAAAAGTTAAAAATATCGTCCATGAGCAAGTGAAGAACGGACAAGCGAGAACAAAAATTAGAGATTATTCACTTTGATGGTTATTTGTGTGCATCACCCAAAAAACTAGTAGTATATAAGTAAAATATAACATAAAAAGATCGGTCGGAAGAATCTTGCCTAATATGGCGAGGTGTTGTAACTTAACTTGTACAGAGAGTAGCTCCTATAGAAATATCTAATTATATGGTTAGTTTTACTAGATACATACCACTCAATTAGTCAATTATCCAATCCAATTAGCTGTAAAAGTATTTCGGTGCAGAAACTATTTTTCTATTTTATCTCTTTTTTTGTATTTTTATAGAGACTAGTTTCTATGAACGTGCGTTGCACGTTAATAATGGCACATAAATATTTAATCAATTATAAAATCACAAATTCAATTAATGAGAAAATTGCATATACATCCGGGAAGAAGAATTTTCATAAAGCAATTCACGTGAAAAAATACAACAATCATTTAAACGTTAAAAATCAATATTATTAGATTACTGTAGTACTTGAATTTAAAATGATTGGTGGTCATCTGATTGTGCAAAAGTGATCAATTTAATTTAGTTAGAAGTATGAAATACTCTCTCTGTTTAAAAAAAAATAAACATATTACTTTTTTTGTAAATAGTTTTTAAACAAGATTTTTTTTGACCATATTTTTTATAAATAGTATTTAAATATTTTAAATTATTAATAATTTTAACTTTTAAGGGAGTATGTACTTATAGTTTTATACTTATGCATTGTAACCATATCTTACCTAAGCCTTATTTATATATACAATAATGAATGAACTTGAACTTTCCGTTAAAAAATATTTGGCCAAATACATTTGGAGACACTTAAACTTGTCTCAACTTTTCATTTAGACACTTAAACTAAGCTTACGACCTATCGTACATTTATTTTAATAAAGGTTTCTGAACCACCGTCTTCCATAGGTGTTTTTAAAAACTTCTTCATGCTCATCTTGTATCCGAAAAATGAGGCAAGCTCATTGCTAATGTCATAACCCATAACCAATTGGGAGCTTGTCAGATTTCTCATCTTTGAGCTCTCTAGCTCATAGCTTTGGCTGCATCAGTGTCCGCTTTGTTTGATCTACTTGGCATTTGGAGCTTGCTCGTGAGTTCCTAAAAAGCTTTCTTGCCATTATCTAGCTCATTGAGAGCATGACTTTTTATAGTCTATATTTTAAAGTTGTCAAGTTCTAATTTGAGGGCTAATTAAATTTGAATCCGTATTTGTTGTGTCTCAAATATTTTTTGGCGAAGACGATGAAGGCAGATTTGGGTCTCTTAACACATGAAGAAAAAATGATTACAGCTCATCCAAAAATTTTCCGGTGAAACTCTATTTTCTCCTACAAGAATTTTGGCTTTGAAGATGAAAATGACTGTGAATACGAATAACAAGACAGCTAGAAAAAAAAAATTATATTTTTGTGGCCATTACGCGCCCATGTTAAGTGAGATACACATGACTTGCCATGTCAACAGATTGTGTTCAATTGGTACAGTTCTTATCTAGTTTAAGTATTTGATAGATAGTAAACTTAGTTTAGGTATCTAAACAAAAAGTTAGGACAAGTTTAAGTGGTTGCGTATCCATTTGGCCAAAATATTTTGATACATAGAAGGATGCTCATATTTTGGAGCTTAATTTTAAACCCAAAAAAATAAGTAGTCAACAAGTGATTCAACGGTCAAACTATTCTCTGGGTATTAGGAAAAATCTCAAATATTATCATTTTATTCAATATGAAATTATATTTTGGAATAAATAAATTAGCTTTTAAAGGATATAATAATCGTTCAACATTTAATAACCAACTTATTAGAGTTATGGTTAATATCTGATTGTAGTTATAATAATATCAATAGTTATAAGTTAATATAATAAAATCAATATATATAGATGGATATTTTACCATCACGCCTCGTCTACAAAATAGTGAAAAGAAGAAAAAAATTCTTAGAGCAAGTGGATGTCACGGAGAGTGATGGAATCTGGAGGCTTCAAACTAATTANTATATATATATATATACTATATTAAAAGCACGAAGACCCTTAGCAAATTGTTGTCCGTTTTTTTTACCCTTAAAAATAGACTTCACATTAGATAAAATCGTAATTTAATTATTTTTCTAATATTTAGGATAAATCAACTAAAGTTTTGGTTATTAAATTGTTCCTTATTTGAATTAGGTAAAAATCATAATATTTAGGACTTTGATATCTACTAAAATATTAGTTATTAAATCTTCCTATATATGAATTTTGTAGAAAAATCTAATATTAGGGCTTCAAAATAAATATTGTTTGGGGGTAATAGGAGTACTACATTTTCTTTTCCTTTTATTTGTGTGGAAATGACACGAGCTAGCCATTTTTAAGCATGTTGTTTAAAATATATTCACAGTTTATAATGTATTTAAAGATTAGCCATTTTAGCTCAAACTTCAGGACACGACGGCTTAGAGTTTAAACCTCAAAATTCAAAATTCAAGACATCGTGTCCTAAAGTTCAAAAATTGTGTCCAAAAGTTCGAATTTTATGTCCTAAATTTTAAATTAGTAGTTCAGAAATTCATGACACTTATTTCTGAATTTCAAATTAGCAGCTAAAAAATACAGGACATTAAGTGGTGAATTGGCTAATCTTTAAATACGTTGTAAATTGTGGATATATTTTAAATAGCGAACTTAAAAGTGGCTATTGCTGCACTTTGTCCTATATTTGTTCACAACAATTTCCATTTAAATATGTTACATTCGTTCTTTCTTGTAGGACGCTTATAGTTCTAAGGTTAACGTTCGAGAAAATGACCTTCTATAACCCCTCAAAATTTTAATAGCCCATATTTTTCACTATTGACACGAAATGGCCCTCCGGACCAAATATATTACATCTAATAGATCAAAATATCTATTTTTTATATTTTTTGTATAATGACAGTCTATTTTGTATATTTTTGTATAGTGACAGTCTATTTTGTATATTTTTTGTATAGTGACAGTCTATTATATATAAATTGTATAATGACAGTCTATTTAGTATATTTTTGTATAGTGACAGTCTATTTTGTATATTTTTTGTATAGTGACAGTCTATTATATATAAATTGTATAATGACAGTCTATTTAGTATATTTTTGTATAGTGACAGTCTATTTTGTATAGTGACAGTCTATTTTGTATATTTTTGTATAGTGACAGTCTATTTTGTATAGTGACAGTCTATTTAGTATATATTTTGTACAATGACAGTCTATTGCATATAAATTATATAGTGACAGTCTATTTTGTATAATTTTTATATAGTGACAGTCTATTTTGTATATATTTTATAATATATCAATATTCAAAAGAAATGCTCTCCAGTCTAATACATAGTCTAAAAATGTAAGACGTGGGGTCTACCTCTACATTGGTCAAACTTTTGGGACTATTACTTGATTTAGAGTGA